GAGATTGACATACCGAGAATTTGATCTATTTTATAATGAAATTATAAAATTTTTTGGGACTTTTTTTGTAGCCTTTTTTTTTAGTTAGGTTAGGGTTTAGGGTTAGAATTATAAAAGAGTATATGTGGATTTTAGTATATATTATAGATTTAAATAGGGACCCAGATCTCAGCATAAGCCGCCATACTATTTTGTTTTAAATATGAAACGAGAGCTCCAAATCTAATCTGATTTTTTAGTCGCGAGATTATACCATATGGGCAATATGGAAATCTATTCAAAATTTATGAGGATATTGTGAGTGATTAGTATCACACAGATTTCTTTTCTTTCAATTGCATTATTACTCATTTAATATTTTACTCTTAGCCACTATTCTGGGATGGTGTGTTACTTTTGGCTTTTGATGTTAGTTTTCATTGAAATGTTATTTTGCATTAATGCCAGCACTGTTTTTAGCTTGGGATGGTAAGTGTATTTTACAAATTGGCAACTAATAATTTTATTTAAATGTTTATTAATTAATGTTATATATATAGTGGAAATTTATCATCTGCAAAAGGGACGTGATGCCGGCCTTGGAGGAACTATTAAGGTAAAGTTATTTTGTGATCTTATCTATAACATTTCATGATAAATAATTTTACATTTTGCATTATTAACAGATTATTGAAGAAGGGCCACTTCGTTCTGCTTTACTGTTGGAGACTAATCTAAGCAAGACTAGTAAATTATGTCAAAAGATAATTTTGACTGCTACATCTCCAAGAATCGATTTTGAAACAAGAGTTGATTGGAACGAAAACAGACAATTTTTGGTAGGTCAAAATTTACACTAGACAATAAATGTTATAAATGCGAAGCTTTTGCATCGGGAAATTTTGAAACCCGATTATAATCGGTTACAACCAGTTAATCGATTATGATTGATTGGTTTCAACGACTATTATCGTCGGTGGTGTTGATAATCGATTTAAACTAAATTGATAATAATCGGTTATAATCAACATGTGCAAAAATTGATTATTAATCGATTAATCGGCGATGATGATGAGAATAGTTTGAAATCCTTAGATTTTAATCGATTCTAATCGACTTTTAAAATTTCCCGATGTGTTTACATGACTGGTAATCCTAAGAAAAGGCTACAAAAAAAGTCCCAAAAAATTTTATAATTTCATTATAAAATAGATCAAATTCTCGGTATGTCAATCTC